GAAAATGAAATGAAAATGAAATATGCATTTACTACATCACTAGGCCAAACAATTCAATGCATTTCTAAAGAAAAGGAAGTGAGTGCCAAACGTAGTGGAGATCTGGGACAAGTCCAAGACTTTTCAGATGAAGATGTTTTCTGGGATGAATGTAAATGTTGCTCTAGATTAGTGGTTTGCAACCGTTTTATCCAAAAACCAGTTGGTTGTGATTAGAGCTGGAAAGTGTCAAATGCACATGGTTGTTTTTCTATCTTCAGTTGCTGATGTCAAATGCCTTTAAATCAAACAATATGGCATTTTTGGCACAAATTAATCTGTCAACTGGTAAAGTTCAGACATATTGTATAGATGTCAACATGAACAGGTTCAGTGACACGCACTCACTGTCAAAAATATGAACCAAAATACACAAGCCAAATAGAAAATAAGACTCAAAAGTTTACTTCAGCTTTAGACTAAGGACAAAGTGCTTGATATGGCCAATTATTGCCTGCGTAGATTTATTTAACTTACATTTTACATAATTATCATTGTACTTATTTAGAATTTACTTATTTAATTTAGTTAGAAGGGCGAGGGAGGAGTTTGAGCTCAGGTAGGTCTGGAGAACTCCCCTGCTTGTTGCCGTGTGAGAAGTGTGAAGTCTTAACTGATAATTTGGTTTAGTCGATTGGCTATGGTGTATGTTTTTGGGACGGTGGGAGGAAACCGGGGAATCCGGTGAACACCCACGCGAACACGGGGAAAACATGCAAGCTCCACACTGAAATGCCAACCGGCTCGATAGGAGGTTGGACCAGCTGCGTTCTTGCTGTGAGGCAACAAAGCTAGCCCCTGGGCCACCGTGTCGCCCTATAGGAAAAAGGGTGGGAAGTATGGGGTGGAAGGGGGGAAACTTCAAGACGAAGATAACTGGATTGAAAAGCTTTGGTTATGTAGAATGCGTCTGTAATCATCTAATAGAGCAGATTACGGAGCGAATGAGGTGCCAGTCGTGTTGATCAGAAGCATGTGATCCTCTCAAAAATAGTTTATTAATAAACCGCACATAATATTGCAACCATAAATATTTTCATTTATATACAATTTTAAATAAATGCTTCATTATTTTTATATCTGCATACATTAAAAATATTTCGAATAACTTATTTAATTATGCACATGCATTACTTCTATATATTTATTACATTCTCTTTTATTATTCTATGCATTTTTAACAATGTATTAAGGTGTTTAGATTAATGGCAATGATAGCACAATTAAAAACAACCCAAGTTGACCAATCTACTTCACAATAACTAAAATACATAAAAAACAAGAATTAGTCAAAGACAGAAGCAAGTTTTAAACATAAAAAAACAAAAACAATAGTAATGGTTATAATATAAAACAGTGGTTCTCAAATCTTTTTCATCAAGTGCCACCACAGAAAAAAATTGTCCCTCCAAGTACCACCATAATGAGCAGTATTGAAATACAGTAATTCCTTTAATTAAGAATATTTATTATTATCAGCCACTTTAAACATTATAAATATTCAAAACATTAACATTGCAATGTGCTTATATGTAAAAACAAACAAACAAACAAAAAAAAACTAAAAATGTCAACAATTAAATTAAATTGTGATTTTAAAAGATAAAAATGGTAGGTTGCTGTTCTTAAAAAGTAAAAATAAATAAATAAATAAAAAACTGCTGCACTTAAATGTAAAGTACATACATAAAGTACAATACATATAGTAGCCAATATAGTAGCCAATTCATCAACACCTAGAAATATTGCCAGGACCTTAGAAATATATATGCTCTATGTCATCATATTCATATATTAATCATTTTTGATCAATTTTGAAATATATGTAGCATGTACATATGACATAATTGATTCCTCCGCGTACCACTAGAAGGAAGCCCACAGTTTGAGAACCACTGATATAAAACATTTTCCTGCTCAAAAACCAGTAAAAACAGAAAATAAAATTCAGTTCATGTGTTATAAGCTTTATCAACTCCACAAAACAAACAGAGATGGTGCCAATATAATGGAAAGGGGCAAATCGTTCCAAGGTTTAGGAGCAGAGAAGGCTCGATCACCCCGACATTTGGGCCTAGATTTAAGATTCAACAAAAGTCTCTGATTTGATGAGCTGGATGGATGGTGCTCAGTCAAAAGGGCTGAAAGTTAAGATGAAGCTAAGCCGTTCAATGATCTAAAAACAACAAGTAACATGTTAAAATCAATTCTGTAGCGCACAGCAGATTACAAAGTAACTATTTTTTGTTTCTGGATTTGAGTTACTAAATGCCCATCTCATCTCTCACATCTGAATGCTTTAATCAATGTGTAATATCATGCCTTCCAACTATTCCAACTATTTATGAGTCAAGTCAGAGCTATGTTTACGCAGTGCTTCATTATAACATCACAGATTTGCATAAAACTGCCCTTGAGGGAATGAGACTGAACTCTCTTTCCAGCACAGTCTGGACAAAACTTCACCTTATGACAGTAATCATGATTTCAGTGAGATGAATCACGCTAAATTATGCTAATCACGGTCAAAGATCACTAGCATAAGATAAATGCATTATTTCATGATGTCATCAACAGTGACACAGATGTTGGAAATTCGTTCCGAATATAAAACATCAAATCAACATATATTAACACTCATATTGCTGCAAAAAGTGTGACAATCTTCACAAGAAGATATTTCGAAGAATGTTGCAACTGCCTCTGTCAAAACAAAGAATGTCAATGGAATCTAAAGATGTTTTGAAAACATGTACTTAAAAATGAGTAATCAACCTATACTGACTTTGGTTGCATAAAAAAAGCAGACGTAACATTTATTACTCATTTAATCCCTCATTTTTTTTTATTTTCTTGCGATACGAGAATCTATATTTTTACGTGTGAGTCAACTCTCCTCACATTGGTCAGAGTGTCAGTGTTTATTTTGCAGAGTCCCGCTTAGCTGTCAGGGGAGGTGGTGGTTTGGTGGTGTCTGAAGAGCGAGGAGAGATGCGGTGGGGAGGGGTGAGAAGGGTGCGTGACGTATTTGAGGACCGGGAGGGAGACGCGAGATTACCGGGAGATCATCACTCGTTTGCAGGCATCCGGGAGACTCCCGAAACTTCCCGCTCTACTCATAATTCTCTCTTCATATAGCGTATGCCTATTACATATCCATAAAACACTGTGATATAACCGCGCTCAGATCGTATCACTTTCTCACTGCAACTGAACCGCTCCAGAGTTCGTTTCAATCGAGCCGGGACCACCTCAATCAAGCGATCTCGAAGCGATTGATTTGGCATGGATCCTAGCGCGATTGCTGGTTTCACATATGCCAAAGGAACCGCGCTAACTGGGCAAACGAGACAGGTTCCCAAACAAAAGCGTAGGTGTGAAAGCACCCTTAGACAACCCTAAGACAAAAACGTCAAAACAGCATGATCAGAATTGCACTGGTGTGTGTGTGTGTGTGTGTGTGTATTTATTCATTTAAAGACGAGCACTGCAGTGTTGCCTCTGCATGAATGTTCTGCTCGGGCTTTGTTTGAAACTATAATTGTTGCCAAAACAGAAAAAAACTGACTATACCGTGTCTAAAATGTAGCTGACTCAAATGTTTTTGTATGACATACAGGTAAATGGCTCTCTTCCTTGTGTGATATTACTGAACTATATCATATCATGGTAACACTTTACAATAAGGTTCATTAGTTAATGCATTTACTAACATGAACTAATCATGAACAACACTTGTACAGCATTTATTAATCATAATTGAACATTTACTAATGCAATATTACCATTCAAGTCCATGCTTGTTAACATTAGTTAATGCACCATGAGTTAACATGAACAAACAATGAACTACTGTATTTCCATTAGCTAACGTTTACTAACATGAATACTGTAGTAAATGTATTGTTCATTGTTTGTTCATGTTAGTAATTGTATTACTTAACATTAACTAATGAACCTTATTGTAAAGTGTGACCCATATCATAAATATATATAAAAACACTCTCACAGATGTTTTGATTTATGAAAACATATTCTCGTAGATCAGAGCTGTCCAAACTCGGTTATGGAGGGCCAGTGTCTTGCATAGTTTAGCTCCAACTTTCTTCAACACAACTCCCCGGAAGTTTCTAGTGTACCCAGAAAGAGCTTGATTAGCTGGTCCAGGTGTGTTTAATTGGGGTTGGAACTAAAATATGCAGGACACCGGCCCTCCAGGACTGAGTTTGGACACCGCTGTTATTGATGGAATATATTTTCATTCATATTTTAAATTCTAACAATATTCTAACTTACAGTTTTTATCACAAAATAAATGCTTTCGGACCATCAATACATGTTTCTGTTTGTTTTAGCAATTATAGTATTACAGTAAACTAAAAAATTCAGGGTTATGAATATTTAAACCTCCTTCATTTAATTCCCTGAGCATCTCAGGAAAGATTTGACTTTATTTCAGTTTTTAGATAATATGCAGTATCTACAATATACCATTATGAGACGCATACAAGAGTATTTGCAGAACAGTAGATTTGACATTGCTACTACTGAACTTAACACTAAAGTCTTCACTTAATATTGCGTTTGATTGGGATGTCCCTCTGAGACTCGTTTGATTTTATATTCAGATGCCATGAGTGACACCTGTACTCATCAAAATGTCAAATATTAATAAACTAAAGTCAAGAAAAGGTTACAAATAAAACATTCAGGCCAAAGGGCAGTCCTAAAAGGAGCAGGAACATTGAGAACCCTGATGAACACCTAAAAAGCTGCTACTTGAGGGCTCACAGCGCCACCTACTGAACAACCACACACAAAACCTTCTCTTTACAAGAGTCTTGCATTTTAATATTGTTAAAACATATGTTTTATTTCTCTAAAATTGCTAAAATTTAAGCCAAAATTACTTTACACTTATGAGATGCTTCGGCCGATATTAAACTTTAAAACACACTTACCACAGCAGGATTTAGGAAGTCACTGTGCTCTTTGGAAGCTGAATTCTCCTCCTCTATTTCACTGTCTGAATCAATAGTGGGCAGTTCATCTGTGTCTGAGGGCAAGCAGCAGGTAATATCATGTATTATCGGGATTATTGTTTTTGATAATTATACATAATACAGTATATATATATATATATATATATATATATATATATATATATATATATATATACTGTATTATGTATAAATAATAATAAATATAATATATATATATATATGTATATACATATATACACACACACGAATATATATATATATATATATATATATATATATACATATACACACACACACACACACACACACACACACACACACACACATATATATATATATATATATATATATATATATATATACACACACACACACACACACACACACACACACACACACACACACACACATATATATACACACACATATATACACACACATATATATACACACATGTGTGTGTGTACATATATATATATATACATACATACATACATACATACATACATACATACATACATATATATACACACACACACACACACACACACACACACACCTACACCAGTGCTAAACATCCGCAGACTCCTGTGCTGGTCAACAGAACGCTGTTTCTGTGCCCTGAGTGGCTGTCGAGGAGCAGGAGGAGGAGGATTATTATCACCGTCTGAATCTTCCTCTTCACTGGAGCTCCAAGCAATGTTCACCGCTTCATCTGTGGCAGCCCCTTTGCTCCCTGAAATCCAAACTTTTACTGAGTAATGAAGTATGAAATCAATCATTAGTAATAGAGAAGACATTTATTATGTTACAAAAGATGAGCACTGTATTTCATCCGTTCATTCATTTTCTTTTCGGCTTAGTCCCTATATTAATCCGGGGTCACTACAGCGGAATAAACCACCAACTTATGCAGCACATTTTTACGAAGCGCAACCCATCTTTGGGAAACAACCATACACACTTATTCACATTCATACACTACGGACAATTAAGCCTACCCAATTCACCTGTACCGCATGTCTTTGGACTGTGGGGGAAACCGGAGCACCCAGAGTAAACCCACACGAACGCAGGGAGAACATACAAACTCCACACAGAAACGGCAACTGACCCAGCTGAATCAGCAATCTTCTTGCTGTGAGGCGACAGCACTACCTACTGCGCCACTGCGTTGTGTTAGCACTGTATTTCATATAAATGTTATTCTTTTGAACTGTAAAATCTCTTAACATTTAATAGATCAGAATACACTAAATATTTATTTTAATAATTAGATTTGTATGATGTCAAAAATTCAGCTTTGCATCATAAAAACTAATGACATGTTAAATTACATCTGAATAGAAAACATTTATTTTAATACATTTAAAATACACAGAAAATGCACTGTTTACAGTATATAATACTTGTTCATAATGTATATTAGCGCAATATTATTACACACTATTACTGGTATGCAGACAGAAACTGAATATCAGCATTGTGAGAGATGCAATTTTGAAAGTACAATGTTCACATTTGGAAATTTATTTAGCAATATCTTTCTTTTTTATGTTGAACATGTAATCATACGTTTTTCAAAAGAGTTTTACATTTTAGAAATATTTATATGATATTTTTGCATTTTGAATCAAACAAGTAAAATAAAATAAATAAGTAAATGAAAGCGTAAAAAAAGAAGTATTAATTTACTTGTGATCAATATATAGAAACTATTTATTGATTGAATTTATAGCAATAGCACTATATCATAATACATTTCATATATATCAGGATATGAGATCATATCGCTCAGCTCTAAGAATAATAAATGCACCCCATGTGAGCACAAAGGACATTTGTTCAAAAAACCTTTCCAGCCATAAACCTTGAATGATAGTGTGTACATAAAACTATATATTTAGTATTAAATGCATTATCTGTTTTACCAGTCAGAGCAACTTTGCTTGCAGTTCTGCTCTTCTTCTCTGATGTTTGCAGTTTCTGAAGAAAAAAAAAAACACAATACATTCAATGTATTAGTGAAGCAGAGCAGGAGCATTGCAATAATATTGTATTAATATATGTAAACTAAGGGTGTAACGGTTCACAAAAATCACAGTTCGGTTCAATACGACACAGTGGTGTCACGGTTTGGTATGTTTTCGATACAGCAAAAAAGGAAAAAAAGCCAGAAGATTTCTCTGATTTAAATTTTTTAATGTATTAAAACTAGCATCATAAAGGTTTGATCTTGTTTTATTTCTTTTACTTTAAACAGTGATGGAGCTATACGTCTGGGGTTTCTGCTTAGCAGCAAATAAAACAAATCTTCTTTATACTCAAAACCACAAAGCTTCCTATAAAAAATAATGTAACATTGTAGTTGTTAAACAAATAAAAAGAAAAGAAAAGTTTAGTTTTTATATGGAACTCAGTTTCAATCAATTTTTTCATATTTTTTTATTTTTAGAACGATGAGTGTCCACCTTTCCTTCAGACAGCACAGATTTGCTTGATTTGACTGTAACCTGCCATTTAAGTGGATCTGAAAGCAGAAGCCATTCCATTTAAAGTGTCAAAGGTGATTGCAGATAAATTCGGCAGATATTTAATAGTTCAAGGCTTTCTCATAGATAATATTAATACCCTTGTAAATGTGTATGAATCCAACTCGGACAGTCCAGAATTTTTTGAAAACTTGTTCTTAAGCTTGCCCACTCAACCTGGCTATTTAATTATAGGAGATTTTAATGTGACATTAAACCCACGTTTAGATCGGTACAATAGTAAAGAGATGGCTCACACGCAAAGCAGGAAAAAACTTAACAGTTTTATAGAGGAACTTGATTTATCTGATCCATGGAGGAGAAAAATATCCCAACAAAACTGAATATTCATGTTATAGTTCATTCTTAAAATCGTATTCACAAATAGACTATTTTTTTATCTCAAATAATTTATTCCATCAAATTTTTGACTGCTCCTATGAGTCTATTGTAATCTCAGACCATGGTCCAGTAAAACTTGTAATGATTCAAAAGGGGCCTTGTAGATGGAGATTTCATCCAAGATGGCTTCATGATTCAACATTTCTGGAGTTCATTGGTGTTCATATTGATTTATTTTTTAAAACTAATTTGAAAGAAACATCTGCATCTATAAGATGGGAAGCCTTTAAGGCTTATATAAGAGGCCAAATAATAAAAGGTCAATAAAAAAAGGAAAATGGAACTACAAAAATATTAGAAGAAAGAATTTGGAAATTAGAAGAAGATATATATTCAGATTTGTTAAATTCAAACATATTTAAACAGAAACTGCTTATTCTAAGAGCGCAATATAATGAACTATCTGCAACAAAAGCTGAAGCCAGTTTAATACATCTTGAACAAACATTTTATGAGTATAGAGTAAAGGCAAGCGGACTTTTGTCTTGGCATTACCTGAAAGCAGGAATTATCTGACGAAAATAGGCTTAAGAAGGAATAATCTAACGGGGCTCTATTACATTAAACATTTTCTTAAAACCCGAAATTTCCACTGACGATTAAGGTCTCATATCCACAGCTATAAATGTACAGATCACCTCAGTGATTTGTTTTGCCCTGTTCGAATCTGTAGGAATTGCCTGTCTGAATGCTGTTGGGATACTTGCGTAGTGTGCGTGTTTCCAGTTTCCATCTAATTCTAGTGTAAATGAGTTGACATGCTCAAATATTACTGCTAAAATAGCTGTCATAGCAGATGTCTTTTTTTTTCACCACTCCCTTGCCATCACCCTTATAACTTACAGGGAAACTAAAGTGTTCCCAAACTCCAGACCCACTGTTGGTTAGAGGAGGATTACATTAATCATTACATTAATTAAGTCCTCAGATTATGCGGAGTCACTGATTGGATCCAAGACCAGCGACGTGATGATCCCAAGGCTTCCATATCCGGGACCAGGCCATATCCTAAGCTGCTGCTGCGCTGATGGTCATGGGGAGTGGAGAACATGAGTCTGATTCCAGTGACGCTCCAGGGACAGACGAGTCTTCGCTGAGGCCATCTTCCAGCCTCCACCACGGTGACTGACGCTCTGCACAAGACTTTTGGCCAGCGGAGAAATTAAAATGGTCGTGCCCAACTGAGACTGGTTCACTCAAGGTTTTTTTCGATTTTTCGTCTCTATTTGAGGGCTCGCCACAGCGGAATGAACCGCCAACTATTCCAGCATGTTTTACACAGCAGATGCCCTTCCAGCTGCAACCATGTATTGGAAAACACACTCAAGTACACTACGGACAATTTAGTTTATTCAATTCCCCTATAGCGCATGTCTTGCAGAAACTGAAGCACCCAGAGGAAACCCACGCCAACATGGGGAGAACATGCAAACTCCACACAGAAATGCCAACTGGCCCAGCCGGGATTAGAAACAGTGACCTTCATACTATGAGTCAACAGTGCTAACCACTGAGCCACCGTGCCGCCATATTAATGCATTAATTAACACTTTGGTTTAACCTAAATGTAACTAACAGGAACTCATGATCTGTTAACGTATATCTATGTCATGACTTTACTTGGAGGGGCACATTCTTATTATTAAGCGCATGCCTTAACTTATCATTAGTTCATAACGAAGTAACATTTACATATAAGTACATAATTATTCACATACTCTTATTGCAAAGTGTTACCGGTATTAGTTATTAAGTATTAGTGTAACACACATGGATGACGGCGCTGTCCAGAAAACTGTCTCCACATCTCTCCCATGACTTTGAGGCAGGAGTGGACGTTCTGGCTTTTCCTCCTTTTCCGAAAGTACTCTTCACATCATCTGGGAATAACACACACCTCATGTCCAGGGTTTTCTTACGCTGAAACCACATACGTATAAACATGAAATATATACGCAAACACAGATGTAGAAACATTAGGAGAGCACTTGAGTTTGTGGCATATTAGGACACAAATGTGTATGGGCATGACACAGGTGGTACAGGAGAAAGTGAAATATGAGGACATAGCCCATGTGCCCATTTTTTTAAAGGTTTATATTATATATCATACAGAATGAGGTTTTTAAGTTAAAAAATGCAGATTTTTCAGTAAGGGGTATGGTTAGGTGTGGGCCAGGGTGATAAAAAATTCAGTTTGCAATATATTAAAAGACAATTACACCTATGAAATGTCCCCACAATTCACATAAAAACGAGTTTGTACTGTATGTGTGTGTTTGAGTAAAATGCTAATATTACTTTATCCTATAAATGTCTAACAACATGTTATAATATAAAATATTAGCATTGGTTTTGTGTGTGTGCATGTGTGTAACAAATTCAGTCGTGACCCTCATACATAATCTATGCAAGCCTACGATTGTGTGTGTGTCTGTGTATATAGTTAAAGTCAAAATTATTAGTCCCCCTTTGATTTTTTTTTTTTTTATATTTCCCAAATGGTGTTTAACGGAGCAAGGAAATTTTCACAGTATGTCTGATAATATTTTGTCTTCTGGAGAAAGTCTGATTTGTTTTATTTCGGCTAGAATAAAAGCAGTTTTTAATTTTTTAAGAACCATTTTAAGGTCAAATTTATTAGCCCCCTTAAGCTATATATATATATATATATATATATATATATATATATATATATATATATATATATATATACATACATACAAACATACATACATACATACATGCTGTTATTTTCTGTTATTGTTTTTTTTTGTTGTTCTTGTCATGTTTATTATCATTGCTGTTAATATATTAGGCAGTGTGTTTAGGGTTTGTTCAAGTGGGTTTCTAAAATAATATCTCAGTATAAACAATGACATCTGCACTTGTCATAAAAATAAAGGAGTTTTACAGAAATAAAGATATCTAAAGAACATAAGAACTCATGCTTAACCTTACATATGTTCATGACTTTTTCATTTAATAACTTGTTTGATTACTATTTATTGATTTTATTGTTTATTTTCCCATAAATCTCAATTCCACAAGCTCTCTAAAACTGACAAACGTCAGATATAGACTCTAGAATCAGAATGTCGCTAGTTAATTTATATTTCTATTTCCACAGGGTCTCCATTATAACACTCAGAAATGAACTGACGATGAATAAATCATTCAAGTGGTTCACTTAAACATCTCGAAACACATACAAAGTTTGAGAAAGTCTCTTTACAGGGTGTTTGCCGGTCGCTTACCTTCCCCATGATGTTAAGCAAACGTTTTAAGACTGTTTGTCTTCTCTAACGGGATTTACTTTCTAATTAAATTATCACTGTTTACATTGTAATGTAGTTACACTTAAAAAACGTACGGACAGGCTCTTCTTCGGTTTGTCTCTCCCGCTCATTTGATTTGTGATGCTGCACGTTACTGACACCTGGCGGTCAGACTGAGCACTATTAGGCCTACCAACATTCATTCGTTTTCTTTTCGGCTTTTAGTCCCTTTATTCATCAGGGGTCGCCACAGCGGAATGAACCGCCAACTTATCCAGCATTTGTTTTACGCAGCGGACGCCCTTCCAGCTGCAACCCAACACTGGGGAAAAACCCATACACCCTCATTCACAGTCATAGATTACGGAAAATTTAGCTTACGTTACCCAGTTCACCTATAGCGCAGTGTTTGGACTGTGGTGGAAACCGGAGCACCCGGATGAGACCCACGCCAACAGGGGGAGACCATGCAAACTCCACACAGAAACGCTACTGACCCAGCTGAGCTCAGCATCTTCTTGCTGTGAGGCGACAGCACTACCTGCCACCTCCTACCAACATTAATACATAAAAACTACTAATAATAGAGACCCTGTAGAAATTCAAATGATAAATTTTATATATAAAATACTACTAATAACAAGATTTGGTAATCTAATTACTTCTGGTATTAATTTTACAAGACAAAGCTGTAATAATCAGAGTTTAAGAAAGTAACTAAATACACAGCTTTTCCCTTAAGAGACTTCTTGTTTTTGATATTCCTGAAGAGAAGGTGGTTCGAATTTGAACAAGATTTCTCTCTTTTCCAGCAAAAGAAATTCAGTTCAAATTTATTCACAATATTTATCCCTGTATTGAGTTCCTCAGGCATAGATTTAATATGGATTGTAAAGTTTGTACCTTGTGTGAAGCAGACAGTCATTGGATGTTTCATTTATGCAAATTTTCAAAAAAGCACTGGGATGACATTTCTGTTTGTTTAAAATTAAAGTATGTAAATACCTAATTTTGATTTTAAAACTGTAAAATATTTATCATTTTGTCAAAAATCAGAATTTTTGGTTAACATAATTGTGACTTTGGCAAATTATTTCATCCATAAATGCAGATTTTTTAATTACCCCTCCAACTTTTTTGCTTTTCCAGGAAGATTTAATGTTTATATATATATATATATATATATATATATATATATATATATATATATATATATATATATATATATATATATGAAAAAATAGATTTATTAATGTTTCATTTTTGTCTTATTTTATATAAACATTAAAAATCAATAAACTTCTATGAAATAGGGAAATATATATATATATATATATATATATATATATATATATATATATATATATATATATATATATACAGTTGAAGTCAGAATTATTATCCCCCCTGATTATTATTATTATTAGGCCGCTTGTTTATTTTTCCCCCAATTTCTGTTTAACGGAGAGAAGATTTTTTTCAACACATTTATGATCATAATAGTTTTAATATTTCATTTTTAATAACTGATTTATTTTATCTTTGCCATGATGACAGCACATATTATTTTACTAAATATTTTTCAAGACACTTCTATACAGCTTAAAGGGACATTAAAAGGCTTAAGGTTAATTAGGCAGGTTAGGGTAATTAGGCAAGTTATTGTATATATCGATGGTTTGTTCTGTAGATTAACGAGAAAAAATATAACTTAAAGGGGCTAAATTTTGTCCCTAAAATGGTTTTTAAAAAATAAATACTGCTTTTATTCTAGACGAAATAAAACAAATAAGACTTTCTCCAGCAGAAAAAAATATTATCAGACATACTGTGAAAATGTCCTTGCTCTGTTAAACATCATTTGGAAAATATTTAAAAAAGAAGAAAAAAAATTTGAAGGGGCTAATAATTCTGACTTCAACTGTACACACACACACACACACACACACGAAGAGTTCAGAAGCAAAATCTTCTAAATGCCATCTGAAATGTTCTCCTAAAATGAAAAATTTTCTCAACCCCTAGTTCATGTTCAGTTATTTCACTTAAAAGGCAACGAAAAGAACTTATCCGTCAAGATGTGAAATTACTGAGCCAACACACAAGAGTTGTAAAAAAAAAAATGCTAATTTAATAAGAAAAAAATCTAAACTCTTTATATATATATATATATATATATATATATATATATATATATATATATATATATATATATATATATATATATATATATATACATATATACAGTTGAAGTCAGAATTATTAACCCCCTGTATTATTAGCCCCTGTTTATTTTTTTTCCCAATTTCTGTTTAATGGAGGGAAGATTGTTTCAGCATTTTCTAAACATAATAGTTTTAATAACTCATTTCTAATAACTGATTTATTTTATAGTTTCCATGATGACAGTAAATAATATTTGACTAGATATTTTTCAAGACACTTCTATACAGCTTAAAGTGACATTTAAAGGCTTAGCATTGTTAATAAGGTGAACTAGGCAGGTTAGGGTAATTAGGCAAGTTATTGTATAATGAAGGTTTGTTCTGTAGAATGAGCAAAAAAATGAGCTTAAAGGGGCTAATCATTTTGTCCCAAAAATGTTTTTTGAAAAAATAAAAACTACTTTTATTCTAGCCGAAATAAAACAAATAAGACTTTCTCCAGAAGAAAAAAATATTCTTTCTGTTACTGTACACACCCAATGCTTACAACATAATCTGCCAATTAGTGATTTTGTCACATCATTTCAAAAGCGTTTAGATTGTATATTTAGATTAATTGGCACAATCTGAACATTTAATCATTTATAATCTTACAAAAGACTTTAGAATCGAGTTTGAGCAAGATACAAATCAGTAAAAACTACTTTATAAACTATCAAATATATAGAACAATACAAAAATGTAAATGCTATAGCTAATATGAATCATTTAAGTCTAAATTAACATCAACTTAACAATAAAAACAAATACCCTCTTCTTTTTGAAAGTGAAAGGGTTTTATTAGGGCAAGTCTATCCATATCTCCAGAGACTTTTAAACAGCAAGTTAAACATACAAAATAAAACATTTAACATAATCTGTTTTATTGTTTTTTTTCCTTCTTTTTTTATTAAATATGTAAAAAGCAGGTCAAGTTATTCACAAATAAAATGCAAACATGCAACACATTTGGGGAATGCATAAGGGGAGATACTGTACGGGAAATAAAAAGAAAACATCGTCTATTTATAATTATTAACAGTACATATGTTTACATTCCTTTCCATTGTACACAATAATAAAATGACGTAAGCGTTGACCTGTGGAGAATATCAGGAGATCACGAGAATGCGGTTTTCTGTCCTGTGCTTCAGGACAAACAGCGAAATAAAACCTTCAATGAGCATCAGTTCCTCAAGATGATGGCTGTGGTGCTTTCCTACTGTACACAAAGTAAAACGGATGCAGGTTACAGGTTGCACAGTCCAAATGAAATGCTTCCTATCCAACACTGAGAACGGCTTTTAAAAAAATGACCATATTCGGTCTAAAATGAACTGCGTGGGTTTATTTTCCTAATATGCATTACAGTCTAATGCAAAATTTACCATGGTAATCAATCGGTTCACAAATGGTAGCTTAATAGCTCTTTGCGCTACTCTTATTGCATTTAAAACTTGAAGGTTCAGAACATAACCAGCTTAAGCAATAGGAAGAAAGTCAATTCTACTTAAAGCAGGGATGTCCAAACTCAGTCCTGGAGGGATGGTGTCTTTAAGAGCTTACTGTGCATTCACACCGAAACTGGTGAGAGCGTCCGAGGTCGCTCTGGCCGCCCTGGCGACAACGATGTCTGCCTTGAGCTCCGGCGGCGAGAGCATCAAAATTCACTACTCTGATCTCGTATTTAAAGGGGCCATTGCTGCATATCAGCCGGCTCTCATTGAAAATGAATGACTTCCGGCTACTTTGACGCTCCCCCCGCTTTCAGTGTGAACGTATGATTAGCTCCAACCTGCCTCAAAACACCTGCCAGGACATTTCAAGTAAGCCAAGTAAGAGCTTATTACCTGGCTCAGGTTTCAGTGATTAAGGTTGGAGCTAAACTATGCTAGACGCTGGCCCTCCAGGACTGAGTTTGGACACCCCTTCCTTAAAGGAACACTACACTTGTTTTGGAAATAGGCTCAAAGAGGTAAACAGATTGTTTTTACCATATGTGAATCTATTCAGCTGGTCTCCGAGTACCGTGGAAGACCTTTAACTTAGCTTAGCATAATTTATTGAATCGGATTAGACCATTAGCATCTCAAAAATGACTAAAGAATTTAAATACTTTTTTTTACTATTTAAACTTGGACTGATATGACCGTGCCTCCAGACACTCTCATTTTTAGGGGAGTTCCTTCACACCCATCTCACGCCATCCGCCTATTTGACCATATCACCCCAATTTTATCCTCCTTACACTGGCTGCCTGTTAAGTTTCGTATTGAATTTGAAATATTGCTTCTTGCCTATAAAGCTTTAAATAATCTAGCTCCTGTTTATCTAACCAACCTTCTGTCTCGCTACAATCCAGCTCGCTCTTTCAGATCTCAAAACTCAGGGCTTCAGGTAGTACCTAGAGTAGCAAAGTTGAGTAAAGGAGGTCGAGCTTTCTCATTTATGGCTCCTAAACTCTGCAATAGCCTTCCTGATAATGTCCGAGGCTCAGACACATCTACATTGTAACAGCACTATACAAATAAAGGTGAATTGAATTGAATTCATTTCTCATAATATGTATGGCCCTATTTGGTTACTTTTTGTCAGGTTTCCAGATCTTGTATGAAGCTCATCACCTCACACAATTGACCAAACATTTCAATCTCAAAGCATTTTTTACTTTAATCTGGCAACATACATAAAAACCTTGCTGCGCTGTTGATTTCTGTCCTGGTGGTAGAAGCGGGATTTGAACGTCGGCGCTAGCAATGCAAGTAGCATACTCTGATTCTGTAATAATGAAACTTTGCAGTAGGACGAATGTTATTATGCAGTGCACAATGTCACTACAGAGTCAAGCTTTAAATAAGAAAACTTTCAAAACTCTTTGGTCATTTTTGAGTGAGATGCTAACGGTCTAATTTGAATCAATGATCTATGCTAAGCTAAGCTAAGCTAAAAGTGCTCCCGCCAGACTTAAAGATCAACTAAATGGCTTACAAATGGTCAAACTTAACTCTTTAACTCCAGTGGATTAATAAAATGAGCCTATTTTCATTAAAAAAGTGATGTGTTCCTATAGATAATGTGTAGTTGAGATGAAAACCAGCTGGAGGAAACACCAGCAGGTGTACTAAAAACCCAATGCATTGCTGTCGTCACAGGATTCACACAAACAACATTCACCATTTAAGCTGATGTTGAGAATAGTCATGATGCGATCGAACAGGGCTGCAAAATGAACCGACCAACACAAAAGACGGGTTTGAGAGTTCGGCCGACTGATCTCTCACTCCTTCATGATGAGAGCAACTGAGAATTGAACCGTTGTGAGTCTGAGAGAATGAAGCTGAAGCAGTGTGTTTGTGTGTGTGTATGTGTGTTCAGTATTCGTCCTGTGTGTCGTCTGGAACGTCCTCCTCCTGAGCCGGAGCCTCGTGCTCCTCTCCGCCCGCCTCCTGATCAGCAACACCAAAAAACAAACAAATAGATATGACTTGTTTAGAAGTGTGCAAAATCTACTACACTGACATTTATAGACATTATTTTAATGGTCATAATTCGTTGTCAGATAGACGGTGAATGTAGACTTCAGGGTAAACATGCAACTGCGCATTTTAAAACAGCATCATATTTAAATAAATAATAACAGCGATGACATTTGATGAGAATATGTGAAAATAAATTAAAAGCAAGATATACATAGAAAACTATAAATAAATAAATTAGCTAATGGGGTGACGCTTATTAAATAGAACAAGCAGGCACATTTAAAATATAAATTAAAAAAAAGTTAGGTGCTAATAAAAAAGAGCAAGAAGGCAAAAAATATCAAAATATGTACAATATTTTAAATATATAACACATAAATAAATAAATAAATAAAAGATGTGATGCTTATTAAATAGAAAAAGGAGACACATTTAAAATACAAATAAATAAATGGTGTGATGCTTATAAAAAAAAGAGCAAGAAGGCAAAAAATATAAAAATATATACAATATTTAAAATATATAATAAATAAATAAATAAATAAATAAATAAATAAAAGATGTGATGCTTGTTAAATAGAAAAAGGAGACATATTTAAAATACAAATAAATAAATAAATAGTGTGGTGCTTATAAAAAAAAGAGCAAGGCGGCAAAAAATATAAATAATATTTAAAATCTCTCAAGAAAATAATAATAAATAGATTAATAAATAAATACATAAATAAAGTGTGTTGCTTATAAAAAAGCATGGTGGCAAAAACAAACATGTATATAAAATATTTAAAATCTTAAAAAATAAATAAAAGTGTGGTGCTAATAAAAAAAGAGCAAGGTGGCAACAATTTATAAAAAAATACAAAATATTTCAAATCTATAAAAACAAAAAGATTAATAAATAAATAAAGTGTGGTGTTTATAAAAAAAAAGAGCAAGAAGGTAAAAATATCTAAAATATATATATAAAATATTTAAAATCTCTAAAAAAATAAAATAAAATAATTAGATAACTAAAAAATAAAGTGTGGTGTTTGTAAAAAAAGATATATACATAAAAAATTTAGAATCTGTAAAAAAAATAAAAAATAATTAGTGTGATGCTTATTAAATAGAACAAGGAGGCATATTTAAAATATAAATAAATAAATAAATAAATAAATAAATAAATAAATAAATAAATAAATAATTTGGCGCTTATAAAAACAGCAAAAATATATAACAAAATTTATAAAATAATAATATTAATAAATAACAACAACAAAAATAATAATAATAAAAATAGTGATAATTTAGTAAAAGAAACAATAAAATAAACTTAATGCAAAAATAATAATAATAATTTGAAATAATACAAAATCTATGATAAAGTGTGTGCTGAAATTAAAAACACTGCTGTTGTGTGGCTCTGACCTGGTCGTCTGCGGAGTACAGCACCTCCATGAGTCTCTCGACGAAGGGTCCGTTGTCTTGGCCCTGCTCCTGACACAACAGCTCCACTTCCCGCAGCTTCCCGAAGTAGAAATCCCTCTCCTTCTCCACTCCTTCAAGTGCCAGTTTTAACGTGTTCATCTGCGGCAGCGGGGAGACACACACATACACATTAAAAGCAGATTAAGGATCATTTACATGCTTCTAAACAACATAACCATGAAAACAAAACACATGCACGTCTAAATGACAAAGTTATAAATGATAAAGTTCCCATGAACACATGAGCATATTTCATAACACATCCCGATGACATCACAAAAATATTCAGAGATCCTTACAGCATCACAGGAAGCACTCTTATGACAAATAAATGTCTAGGAAGAAAAACAGCACACAAGATGCTGACTAGAGGCCCACAATGTAATGCCAAGTAGGTTTATATACAAGCATAAAGGCTAAAAAACATCAACTCAGACAAATGTCTTCTAAAGTTATCCGTCTCGTTCAGCCTTTCTTTTCTCAGCCTCGCTATTCAAAGCTTTTAATAGCGTTAATAATGTTAGTGGAGTCCACCTGTTCGTTTAGTTGTGTTACTTGGGCTTCCAGCTCTTTCTCGCCCTTCGCGGGTGTCGCCGACATCACCGGGAGCTTTTTGGCAGAGGAGGGCCGAGAGGTGGAGGTGGAGGTGGAAGTGGAGGATTTAGGGGTGGAACTGGTTGATCGAGTAGCTCCTGCACACAAGTTAACCAATGCCATGATGCTCAGAGTTTAGTAGAAGACACAATGAGAGCTGATTAATTCCAGCGGTGTAAAAAGTGACCTGATTCTCAAAAATGATACACATGTAAAAGTATAGACACTGAGTGAAAGTTGTACTCAATATTTCCTACACTACACTTTTATTATATTATTCTACGACAACTACTACCACTACTACAAGGACTATTACTACGATGACGATGACGACCATTACTACAACGATGACTATTACTACAACGATGATGACTACCACTACGACAATTATTACTACTACGACGATGACGACGATTCTACTACTATGAAGACGACTACTACAACAACGATAACTACTACTAATACTACTTCTACTACTATGACAACTACTACTACGACTACTACTACAACGACGATTACTACTAATACTACTACAACTACAACGATGAGTACTACTATGACGACTACTACTGCAATTATAACGACGACACTGACTACAATGACTACGACAACAACTACTACTACTACAATTACGAAGACGACTACTACTATTACTACAACATATACATTACATACAACATTACTATTACATAGACTACTACTACGACGACGATGACTACAACGACCACGACTACTACTATTGGTATTACTACAACGACGACGAGAATTCTACTATTACGAAGACAACAACGATGACTACTTCTACGACGATGACTACTACGACGACGACTACAACAACGACTAGGACGATCGAAATAAAAAATATTTGCTTTAAAGGGGCTAATAATTTTGTCCTTAGAATGGTGTTTTAAAAATTTAAAACTGCTTTTATTCTAGCCGAAATAAAACAAATAAGACTTTCCAGAAGAAAAAATATTACAGACATACTGTGGAAATTTCCTTGCTCTGTTAAACATTGTTAAGGAATTATTTAGAAAAAAAACATTTAAGGGGGCTAATACTTCTGACTTCAACTGTATATTAGCTTACAGAATAAAGCAAAAATCACATTTGACATTTTACTCAAACACATAACTATAAATCAAAAAATATTAAGCGCTCTCTTAGGTTTTTTTTTAATAGCTTTATAACAAGCAGAAACAATGCCATTTAAAAACAGGTTACTGGTTATGGGCAGGGCCAGACGGAATCTGCGGACATTTTTAGCTATTTCTGCAAAGAATTTTGGTAAAAATCTGCGGATTTCTGCAGAATTATTTTGGGGGTATCCAGAGGAGTATCATAACTAAAACCTTAATATATGAAATAAAAAGTAATAAATTACTGAATAAAAACTGAATAAATACAGATTTACACATTTACTCAAGTAAATAAACAGAATTAATGATGGGCTAAAAATTTACAGAATTCTGCGGAATTCTGTGGAAAATCTGCGGAATTCTGTGCGCGCAGATTCCGTGTGGGCCTAGTTATGGGCATGCTAAGCAGGCACATTTACCAATTTTAATGTTCATTAGATGGAAGAAATCATAGAAAAAGAAAAAAATGTACAATGTAAGCAAAACTTATGTAAGGAGGTAAAAATAATCATTTTCTTTTCCAGATATATATGTAATCGCCAAATTAGCCAGTTTGTCTTGTAATTGAGTTTAGTATAATTCCCTAAAAACAATCCTTAAAAGTTTAGTTCACCAAAAAAAAAAAAAAAAAAAAAAAAAAAAAAAAATCAAAATTAAAATTAAAATTACATAAAAAAAAAATTTAACTAAAATAAATAAATAATTTTACATTTAGCCATTTAAATAAATAAATAAATAAACAAGTAAAAAATTCTCACCATTCATAATTTTTTTTGCTTCTGTTGGACAACACAAAATATTCTAATGCACGTTTTAAAAAGATTGCCACTGACATCTATAGTAGGAGCAAAAGTACTATGAAAGTCAATGGCTTTCCAACATTCTTCAAAGTATCTTCCTTTGTGTTCAACAGAAGAAACAAACTCAAACAGGTTTGAAACAAACGGGGGATGAGAAGATGATGACAGAATTTCCATCTTTGGGTGAACGGTCCCTTTAATGACAGTATTTTACACCCTTGATTATAATAGATGATGCGTTTAAGCTGGTGAACAGACCTGCGGTGGGAGAGCTGGCGGCGTGGTGGGATTTCTTTGGCAGGTTGAAGATCTGCTCGCCAGGGTCTGGAGGGGGAATGGCGTCCTGTCCCTGTCTGGCCTCCACCGGGTCGTACTCTTTACCATCATAATTTGCATCAAAGAACTTCTTGAACCACTGAATGAAGTCAAGGTTGTCTTGAAATCGCCCCTTGACGAGCTTCTCTACGGGGATAATCTGAAAGCAGGTTATATGAGCAATTCCAGCGTCATGGATGTGACATTTGCAGTAAAAACAGAAAACATAAATTCACACAGCAAGTATGTGTTAACATTATATTGAAACATTATTTATGTTTTCCAAAACACCTAACCACAGAGATATAGGATCCGAAAAATGTCAATCTGTCAACATTTTTTATGATTCAAAGGAGGGAAATGAACATGTTTTATGGATGTAACAAAAAAGTCTGCGAGTTTACTGTACTTTGTAGAAATTGTGTGAATTAAACTGCACAACCCAAAAGAAACAATGCCAATCAAAAGATTAGAGTTGCTCACTATAAAACAAACAAGATTTCTTTTATTTTATTTGACATTTTTGCATTTATGAGGAAAAAGCTTGGTTATGGATGTGACGTCTCTTCTTTATTGAGGTGACAGATGTAAAATTGGCACTTGTGTGACTTTGGTAAATCAAATATAATTGTTTGAAAACACTGACAGAGACATGTTTGAGTATTTTTGCAGTACTATAAAATACAAGCTTATACAAAATAACTTTGAAATTTGGCGAAAACTTAAATTTTGGCTGCCATTTGTATAGAATTGCTCAAATACAGGAATCAGAGAGTGAAATTCATTACCCTTTTAAGACTTTCCATATATATTCGAAGACCTCATTGCAACTTTAGGTTTCAACTGGTAATATTGGTGACATTTTAACTAGGGTTGGGTATAGTTTGGTATTATTTCGATACCGGTGCTAAACTGATCATTTTAAAACAGTACCAATGCCAAAACGGTGCCTGAACCGATACTTTTAAGCCACAAAATGATGGTGGATGACTAGAAAAATCTTTTATTTGACAAAAAATTATCTGAATAGAACAATATAATTCAAGTTTAAAGTAAACATCAATTCAAATTTCGCTATTTGAATTACATTCATATATTTCCATTGATCATTTGTTGGTTAGCATGAATTGAAGATTTGCATTATGAAATTACGTTAGCTAGCTACTAACCTGTGGAAAGGCTGTCATCAAAATACTGAACTCCTTTTTTCTAGGATTGGGGCTTGTGACTATGCTTACATGGATATCAGTAATCTAATGATTTTCCTTAATCTGAATAAGACAATAATATGATAAAGGTGTTTACATAATTTGCTTTTTGAATGTTCCTTTCATGATCCCGTCCAACATGTTATAGTACATAGATCGATTAACGTCATTGCGTCAGAACGGTATCCACGTTTCCTCCAGTTTCATGTAACTTCAGGCGTTTCATTTTTAATTTTTCTACTTTAACTGCAGTTTTACTTTCATTCAGGAACATTTCATTCATGCCCCCATGACAAACAGGTATTTGATGCGAGCATTAAGTAAGGACTAGTGGAAGAGGGCTCTTTTAATGAAATTTGATGCCGCACATTGAATGGAAAGGAAAAAACCTCCGCATTTTGTAACGCAGGTGTCTGTGGTCCTACAAGTTAATCAAAAATCACTGTTTACATTGTAGTCTAGACTCTTAATCAGAGTACTGTCTTAATCCTATTAAAATCAGAGCATTGGTGTCCATGAACGTATTTATTGAAAGTGCCAGATGATGTCGCAAGCTTTCAGAGCGCATTCCTCTGCCTTTAAGTTGATTCCATGCGCCCTCAAATGTGTCATTAAGTTTGACGTGTTTCCCCCTTAAACGTAACTTCCGTAAAGCATCTGCTTCACATTGCTGTGTCAGAATCCTTGCTTGTAAAATACGCTTTAGAACACTTAGTTTGAGCAAATTTGATGAACGCGATCATCCGTGTTGATCTGAAGAGAGTCGCTCTCGCTCAACGAATGCGATGTACTGTGTGCGTAGCGTACGTCCGTTAAGCATTAAGAACAAACGCCCGATATCGCCTGTCCATTTTCCTCAAAGTTGTTTAGAATTAAAATTAAGAGATGGTGTGACAACACGTATCTATGTGTGTCTTTGATGCACCCCATGATGCTTCTTATGTCCTTGTCGCAGCACCAGTAGCACTGAAATTAGGCACCGAAATTCGTATGCTGACTGGGTCCGGTACATACCGGTTACAAATGTACCGGTGCTACAATTCGAAACAATTCATAGTTTTGGTACCCAACCCTAATTTTAACTTGCAGTATATTTGGTTCAAGTCAAAGTACATTTATTTATAAAGCACATTTAAAAACAGCCACAAGACTGACCAAAGAGCTATACATAAGACAGAGTATAAAGGCTGATTTATACTTTTGCGTCAAACGCCGGCGTATGCTACGGCGCTGACGCATAGCTCTTCGCCGTCGGCATCGCTGACGTGCACCTCTCAAAAAATGTAACTACACGTCGCAACGACGCGTAGCGTAAGCTCTGTGATTGGTCGGCTTGGGAGCGCTGATGAGTCTGGGCGGGACCAAGAGCCACGCGAATGGCGCGAGCCTGATGGAGTGATTGTTTACAAGTGTGGAGTCCCGTGAAGGAGCTCCGGATGTAAAGTTTTGTTTTGTGTTTACCTCATAGTTAAAGTTGTTGCACGTCCGCCGGTTCCGGTCTCAAAATGAGCGAGTTTGAGCCACTTGTACATCCAGGAAGTGTTCAGGAAACGCAAAAAAGCAGCGAAGAAACTCGACACAGAGGAACATTTACACCTCACTGCCCACTAGCGTTTCGGAAGTGTTAATGCAGACCAACAGAGACAGCGCGCAGAGGTATTAATGCACAGCCACGCGCGTTGCATGCGCCGTGGGTTACGCCGGTCACTTGTATAAATCAGGCTTTATACAAAAAGAAGTATAAATCAGTAAAATCTTGTAAAAGAAGTATAAATCAGGCTTAATACAGAGTAAATTATAAAAACATAGAGGTAAAATTAAGAGAAACGACAGCAGCATAAATTTAAAAATCAATAGTAATTTTCAAATTTTTAATAAACTATTCCTTTAATAAAAAAATAAGCCTTAATAAAAATTCTGAACTATATCAATTAACGTCAGATTAACATAAAAATCGTAATATTTGAAAATGAATAGCCTTTTTAAGTCTTTTTAGTGCTGTGACAAACATCACTAACAATACAATATTCTTAAAAGACCTTCTATAAGACTGAATAATAAATAATAATTCACTGTATTTTGAAGTGTCCACAATAACAACATCATGCATGTTCATAATCTCTGTCTTACTGATTATCTGCACATGTCTAAAGCAAAGGATGAGGAAAATACCCTGATGTCGGCTCACCTTATCAACATTCATCCTCTTGAAGGAGGCCTGCAGGAGCTTGAAGTTGTGGATGTATTCATGCTCCAGCTTGGCCTGGAATTTCACCTTCTTAAGACTGATACAGCCGGGAAACAGCATGTCCATGAACTGACAGTACGCCGCTCCTGGAAAACAATGCACAGAGATGAAGTAATTTGTAAAAATGTAAAATAGCTCTTATGAATTGTATCTCTTTGCAATAAAAAATAAAAGTTTTGAGATGGATTATTGGTGATTAGATGTTAGCCGGATAGGGTAGCTTTACCTGGACAGAGGAAAATAAAGACCTGTTTAAAATGGTTTAAGACCTACAACTCAATATTTCATTCACTGAAATTAAGACTTTAAGGCCTAAAATTTTGTCCTTGAAATCAAAGACATTTTAAGACTTTAAGACCTTGCAGACACCCTGCGCCTACTTTCAAAAATCTTATATTTTTGTATGAAAAAAACCCTATATGAATTCAAACAAATTAGCCACTTTTTTGACAATACATACCATTTTTTTTAATGAGACCGAACTGCTTTTCACCTTTAAAAAATTATAAATCCAAATAACAATTTTGTCATTGTAACATAAAATACTTGAGTTTGAAATTCATTTTAAGGGCCTAAAAGTATGATTTAGAAATTTAGCACGCAGCAGAAACCCTGAACACACTAACATCAAGAAGATCTTCAGGACAGATTGAGTTCCAGCCTAATTTACAGTGAAGTAGATCTAATCTGCTCAATCAGAGGAAATAAAACAAGGGCACTTAAAGGGAGATCCATTTGACTCGGAGGATGCAAGTACACAGCGTCATGTAAATCGATGTATTCTGGACGGCTTCCAGAGGATATTCAGTGTCTCCGAGTGTCTTTAAATACCTCTGCTTAGACCTGTGCTCGGGCTCAACTAAATTAAGGCACAGTGTGATGTCATGCTGAACCACACAAGTGTTTACACACACACACACACATCCACTGTTCCCTGGCTGACGATTATTAGATTCATCATTAATACAGAAACTGGTGGAACTGATACCAATCCTTTACACAATCACAATAAGCAGCTAATTAAAAACAACCAGTTTATATATCATGGTGTACAAATGAATATGTTTTGGTAGTAATAATGAGTAACACAGATGGTGCCCAGCATACAAATTATTTTATTTTTTACAATTATTTTGGAGCTGGCAAAATATTTTGTTAGAATATACACTCACCAGCCGCTTTATTAGGTACACCTGTCCAACTGCTTGTTAATGCAAATTTCTAATCAGCCATGTCTCAGTGTATTTAGGCATGCAGAAATGGTCAAGACTGAAGATTCCATTAGTTAACAATAACTTAAAATACAATAACTTAATCTTTTTCAAATTTACACTATATACTAAAGTATTGCATTCAAAAGAAGACCTCAAAACTTGTTTTCACCCTCCTAAAATGTTGTTGTGTAATTGAATAGCTCAAATGCTAATTTAAAAAAATGTGTAAGCTGTGAATACATCATTAAAACCAAAGATTATGTCCACAATTTCTTTTAAGATGTCTTTGTTAGAGTCTAACACTTTTATTTAACTACTTGGTAATTATATGTATTAACTAAAGTTTGTGTTAATAATAATTGAACTGACCTGAGACAATGAAATGATACCAACAATTCCAACAATACCAACAGAATTGTGTTTTTAAAACTCATTTTATGAAATTTTTAAGAATAGCTTAGGAAATTGATCATTTTAAAGCAAATATTCAATCAAAGTGATTAATGTTAACTAATGGGACTGTCCTGTTTTTTTTTTTATTATTAATTTGTTTGTGCTTGTTTATTGCCACGTCAGCAACTTGGTAACTTCATGGAAAGATTAAAATAGATAAAAACATTTTGTATAACAACAACAACAACTACTTTATAATTAAAGAAAATATGACACAAAATAAAAAATACATAAAAAATAAATAAATAAATAAATAAATAGATAAATAGAAAAATAAATTAAACACAGATAAATAAATAAATAAATACATACATAAATAGATAAACACAGATTAACAAATAAAAACAATAAATAATGAAATAAATATATTTTTAAAATGATTAAAAATAGAAAAAGGAATACAGAGATAAATAATAGATAAATGAATATATGAATAAATATTAAATAAATAGATAAATTAATTAATTAATAAATAAAAAATAGATAAATAAATAAACACATAGATAAATAAACATATTAAAAAATAGATAAATGAATTAATAGATAAATAATAAATAAATAAATAAATACATAAAAATAAATAAAATAGATAATAGAATACATAGATTAATAAATGAATAGATAAATAGATAGATAAATAATAAATATTTAAATACACAGATAAATAAATATTTAAAGAAATTAACTGAAAATAGATAAATAAATAATAAATAAATAAACACAGATAAATAAAAAAGATAAATAAATGAATAAATAAATAGATAAAAAAATAAATAAATCGATAAATAATGAATATAATGAATAAATAAATGGATAAATAAACAGATAGATAAATAAATAAATAGATAAACAAGGAATAAATAATTAAATAAATAAATGAAATAGTTAGATAGATAAATAAATGATAAATAAATAAATGGATAAATAAAAAATAAATAAATACATAAATAATGAAAGATACATAAATAATACATAGATAAATACATATATTTAAAAAATAAAAAAGATAAATGAATACACATAAAAATAAATAATTAATAAATAAATAATAAAGATAAATAAATAAATATATAGATAAATAATAAATAGATACATAAAAAATAAAAGTAGATAAATCCATAAATAAAGAAATAAAGAAAACATTTTACATTAAAAACATTTGATTTTCATTGCGATATATGTCTTACAACTTAAAATTATTTTCGAAAATACATTTTTGAAAATACCAACAACACTATCCTGTAAAGTGTGGCCCATGTTTAGTAATATGATAATAACTGCGCTACACGTAACTTGATTCCCAGGTTCATAATTGACATCTGCTTTACGGACCAGACAAACAAACAAGTGCATTTATGTCACAGCAATCCTCAAAGGTACAGCAGCAGCTCTACAGCAGAGCAGATGATCAGCGAGCAGAAGCCCTGGTGTAAATCCTGCGGGATTATTGCTTTGTGTCTAATGAGCATCAGCGCTGGTTTAAGTCTGGAGCTTCACATACCTGACGACAGCTGCTCCACTTTAGTGTAGTTTAGACAGAGCAGATCGTTGACCCAGGCTGTGATGTCATGCCTGCTCATCGTCTCCTGGGTGATTGAGGTAGAGTAAACGTTGACCGCCATCCCCCAGCTGTGGAGCAGACACGTCAGCATTAATAAGACTGCACAATATATCACACAATATTAGCTTTATTACGATGATAGTATATGCAATATACAGTGAGGAATACAAGTATGGAACACATCTCTATTTTTCTCAGAAAACATTTATAAAAGTGCTGTTAACTTGAAACTTTAGGCGGATGTTAATAACACTCACAGTAATCCATATATGTAACCAAAACAAATCTTTTCAGAATACAAATGAAGCTACGCATAATAAAATGAAATTATGTAGGGAAAGGTATTGAACACATGAAGAAAGGGAGGTGTAGAAAGGCAGTGAAAGCCCAGACAGTAGCTGAAATCTCTTAATAGTTCTTCAGCAGCCCTCTGCCCTTCCTCTGTGTAAATGAATATCAGCTGCTTAAAGGTTCACGAAACCCTCGAGTACTTGTTTTGAGACTTTAACAGATTTGTGCGTTGAGCATCAGTTAAGACAATGTTAGCACCTGTCAGCTTAAATTGTGGGGAAAACTGGATAATTTTGAGCTTTTGTCAGGTAGTTTCTGCTTCCGGGTTTAAAATGATTTTTGGGACTGGATCAAAATCAGCGACGTAGCGCAAAACTGCATGTGCAAAGATGACGTGTCGGTTTCTCATTATTATTCATAGTAGAGTTTTCTTATCCTTAATTATCCATGACTGCAAGTGCTTTCCGAAGTGAAGGCAGACCCCACGGCACACAGTATTTAACCGTTCATGAAGGGTCGTATGCATTTGTTTCCATGATCCACGAGGTTATTTTTTGGGGGCGGGGGAGGATGCTTGTTTTTCCCTGTGTCCAGCAAGCATTTTTGTCGGGAGATCAGTACGAGAATTGGAGAATGGCTGACGTTGTCTTGTATCAGGAGTTTGTTCACATTTAGACACATCTGCACTGAGTCTGCATTCAGACCTATGATTCAGACCCGGGGATTGAGGGAAAAGTCCTCATTTATAGTGTTTTTATATGTCAGTTCAGCTACCAATCAGCTGTGATTGCTCAACAGCGCACAAATGTACGAATGAAATTTACATTAAAAAATGTAAGTGCCGATTGGTACTGAACTCGATACTTTTGACAACCCTACTCCCAACACTTGCCCCGTCTCTAAGTTCTGCTAGTTGGTCCATTGCTTTAGGGTTGACATTAGCTACGCTTCCATCCACCTATTTTTATGCACATTTTGGATACGTGCATAAAAAAAACGGTTGATGGAAACGTCATGATGTGCGAGCAAGGCCGCCTACAAATCTGACTCAGTTACACCAATTCTGTCAGGAGGAATATCTGAAAATCTTATATGTAGCGGGGGGGGAAAAAGAATGAGTTCATCAGACGCTGGATTCGAATTGAGTTCATGCTCGAACGTGTCAAAACATGTTGACAAGCGTTTTACGAGCTGCGCCACTGAGACTGTTAAGGGTGCTGCAACATTTTACACCTATAAATCACACCATTTCTTTTTTAATTCACTCAGTGCGATGTTCAGACCCAACTGTGTTAACCGCATCAGCTAAACTCTCCCACTCTATTTTTTTCTTTTGTTGTTAATTCCGGAGAACAAACTTGCAAATAACACCACTTTTCTCCGGTCTACCTCCGAAAGCAGCACCTCCAATTCACATTCTGTTCAAAGTTTCTTTTCTTGCTTGCTTTTGGAATTTGTTTTTTCATTGGGTTGTGCCAAAGTAGAGTCATTAGCATATTCATACGGGGGAGGAGGCAGGGAGGGGTTTTGCGCTCGTGCATGTTGCGCTCAGTTTCACGTTCATTCAGATGTACAAAAGAATATGCGTGAGATTCGGCGTACGCAGTGTTTCATACATCTGAACTTTTTCTGCGTACGCACATTTACAGCTTTATGCGTATGCAATGTTTTAGTATGATTTCCACGCAAGTCTTCGTACATGAGGCCCCTGGTGGATTAAATGATGCAGCATTATCAAATGTTGTATATGGTTTACGACAGATTATTTTGATAAATTTTTTTAATTTATTAAATTTGATTTATAATGATGGATGTAATGAAGGGGGTTTTGTGTCAGAATTGCTTGTAATAGTGCACATGGTGATTGGTTTATTCATTGGTTATAATTTTCTTAAATATGCCGTGACTTTCTATGTGGAAACATAAAACATTAAACATAAATAAAAGTATTAAACGAATTTTTGAGCAGGTGTTGCTTGCTTTGACATAGAAAAATAGTAGTAAAGTAGCACATTAGAAAGGAAAAAGTTGTTTTGTGTTAACGGCCCTTTACTATTCTAAACTATTTTCATTACATAAGTCTAATAAATGTGTAATAATCAATGAAAGAGAAACAAGTGAGAAACCCTGTGAAAATCATTTAGCACAAGTCATGTGGGGTAAAATTGATTTGCAGTGGCAGCACAGAAAAAAAAACCTAATTCTTATCAAAATGTTGACAACACAAACTCCTCCAGTCTCAGTTACAACCACAGTGTTTGAGGGTCAATGTTTATAAACCTACACTGGGCTTTTACAAGAAGTAAAACTAAAGTTCCTGATGACTTGTATCAGCCAGAAAGAATCACTTCTTTCTTAAGGAAATAATCCTGCACTTTTACTTTACGTCAATCTGTGAAAATGAAATCAAATACGATAAAATCAAAATGGGCCACTTTAAATCTATAAAACTATGAAATTGCTAAATTATTTTGGTTTTTAATATGTTAATACAAACAAAACTGATCCAACCAAAGAGCCAGTATTTACATATTACCGACTTCACTCTCTAAAAGCGATTTGCATAGCAGGGTTCATCTGTAAACACAGTGTAACACGATACTGATGTCTACTACAGGTAACGGCCATGTAAATGGAGATATATACATACAGAGAAATCTTGAGTTGTGTTTTGTGTTAGTTCTCATCCAGAATTGTGCACTTAGGGTTGTCCATCCCACTTTCCCCGCCCCAAGTCAATACTAATATTTTAGGCAAATCAATACGGGCTGAATTTTTTATGTGCAGAAATATGGTCATTGTTTAAACTGTAGTAACAATACATTTGTTTTAGAGGATAAATTGTTTTAGATATGAGCTTTGTTGTTTTATGCTAAAGTCAGTGCCCTTTAAAATCTGACAATAGGATTTAAAGCAGAACTTAGTTTGGCACAAACCCAGCGGTGAAAAGTGGCAAATTAAAAACACTCAGATTACTCTAAATGAGTAGTTTTTCTCAGGAATTGTACACTTGAAACATGAGTTGTTGCTGCTTTTTCAAACTACTTATTTAAAATAAGCTGAAACAACAATTCTTGAGATTCTTTTTGGGGGATAACTTCATTGTTTTATCCACTTCAATTTGTTAGTTGTGTACTTTTCCTTTCACTGGAGTACATTTTAAGAACTGTATCAGTACTTTTACTCCTATTTTCCTTCAATCAGCAGTCACTACTTTATTTTTTATTCTTTTTTATATTTGATTGGCTACGTAGAATAATAAGTCCTATGATTCCCAAATAATCAAATTGCGCAAACATGTAATGACCGAGAGACTGTTTAGATGATGAAGTTATCAACTGTATATGGTAGGTTTGGGCGGTATCCAAATACCACCCAGATACTGTCAAACCTCCTCCCTATTTTACCTTAGTATAGTTTTGTGCGTGAAAAAAATGATGGCGTAAGGCTCAGACAGCATCACCAAACGTTAGGCTTGTGCCTACCGTAAACACCACCATAGGTTTGAGGTATATCCATCTCTCGCGGTCATCTTTTTGTAGCACAATTTGCAAATTGCCTCGTCCCCATTAAATAAATTATATTTAATCCTTGTCTCCTATTGACCTTATTCTAAAATGCGGAAGTGCGCCTGTTTTCGCGATTGTCTTAGAACTTCTGATTCAGTCGCCTATGGGAGAAATTACTAAGAATAATAACCGGCAGAAAACGGTCAAACTACTTGCTCTACAAACAAATGTTTGCATGACTATATAGACCAAGTAGAATAATATGATAAAGAAAATATCAAATTGCAACATCAAGCAGCGTAATGAGCAGTTTTTAATGTCTAAAAATGAATGGAAGTGAATGAGACCGGAAGTCTCGAGCCAAAAAGATTCAAATGGCAGCGCCCACTTGTCGGCGGAGAATAAGGTCAATATAAGTGCATTGTTTTGTATGATGGTATAATGGTATTGAAACTGATACCGTTGCTATTTTTTAGATCCAACGGTATATCATATTACCGCCCAAGCCTATGAGGACTAAAATCACCAAATAGCCTTAAACAATCACTAAATTCCCTACAGAATATTACGTTTACACACACACACACATGCACAAATACAATGTAAACGCATCAATCTTTCACATTGTAATAATCAATACACACTTTTAAAAGGCCTACTTTTTACGTATACTTTGAGTAATATTTACAACAGATACTTGTACTCTACTTACACTACATTTTAGGGCAATAAGTAATGGTACTTTTACTTGTGTATGATTGTTCTGTACTCTTTTCACCACAGCACAAAACACTAATTTTAATGAGTGGAAACTTTGTGGTAAGAAAATTTGGGTTAATAATGCAACAAATCTTTAGTGCTACCACTTTTGTTGTGCTAAAAAAATCACCTGGCCTCAATCACTAAATTCCCTACAGAATATTACGTTTTCACACACACATGCACAAATGCAATGTAAACGCATCACATCGTAATACTCACTACTCTGATTTAAAAGGCCTACTTTTTACTAATTCTTTGAGTAATATTAACAACATATACTTTTACTCTACTTACACTACATTTTAGGGCAAGTAATGATACTTTTACTTGTGTAAAATTGTTCAGTACTCTTTTCGCCACTGCTCAAAACACTAATTTTAGTGAGTGGAAACTTTGTGGTAAGAAAATTATGTCAATAATACAAAAAATCTTAAGTGCCACCACTTTTGTTGTGCAAAATAAAATTACCAAATAACCTTAATCACTAAATTCCCTACAGAATATTACGTTTTCACACACACACACACACGCACAAATGCAATGTAAAACGCATCACATCGTAATACTCACAACTCCCATTTAAAAGGCCTACTTTTTACAACATATACTTTTACTCTACTTGAACTACAATTTTTGGGGCAGATAATGGTACGGTTACTTCAATTACATTTTTCTGTATTCTTTCCAAGCACAATTTTATTGGGTGGAAACTTTGTGGCAAGACAATTGGAGTTAATAATACAACAAATCCTTTGTGCCACCACTTTTGTTGTGTGATACAAATCACCAAATGGCCTTATACAATCCCTAAATTCCCTACAGAATATTACGTTTTCACACACACATGGACAAATACAATGTAAACGCATCAGTCTTTCACATCATATTACTTACAATTCACTTTTTTACGCACAACTTTAATGAGCGGAAACTTTGTGGCAAGAAAATTAGGGTTAATAATCCACCAAATCTTGTGTGCCACCACTTGTAAGATTGTTTTGTATATATTCTTATGCAATACATTTCTATCGGTTCAATATTGGATTATAAACAGCACTGCACAACATGTATAAGAAAATAACCTAATGAAATCAACCAAATTAAGTCCGTTTTAAATCACTGCCAATTAAAAGATCAACCCCATTCCTTATGAATTCCCAGAACATCCTCTCCTCACTTCAATAATGAGCTGAGTTCCTCAAAGGAAAAGCCACATCTCTTATATAAGGCTCCCTTAAAATCCCTTCAGGATGACAAATCTTCCTCCCTAATAATTTCTCATGACTTTAATAAGCTTAAACACAGCAGACATTAGCGTTGTGCTTAAATAGCAGATTCATCTAAATTTAGCAGGAAAGATAAACAGTTTAGTGAGATGCTGGAATGAAGGGGGAGGGAAAGCAGCAGCCAACAAAATCAGTGTCAACAAAAGCCATCAACCCAAAACATGTTTCAAGACCCCCAAAACGCATGCAATCACATTTTTCACACATCCAGAGGGTATCAGCCGCTATTACGCACGACACGCAGTTAATCTTCACACATATTTGGGGATGAGATGGAATGAATTAGAGTACGCAATGGCTGACTGCTTAGTGAACATACATACAGGCCATGCACTGTCAAAACCTGGGAAAGCAGCCTGTCAGCGGACATCCCAGCACGTATCCATCCTAAATTATTCGACAAACATTTGGAGAAAACGCCCAAAGAATGAAAGCATACGCCAAAAAGCGTTTAATATGATTTTTAAGGGGTGCACCATCGGGGGAAACGCCATAGCTGCCACAGGAAAAGCCCCTCTGTTGGATAGAACGCAGGCATAATGTGAGTGGCTTTGGGAATGCATGGATTAAAACGGCCCGATTGTGATGTTTTAGGCTAAATGCATTGATTGAAGCTCGGATAAAGCGCTGGTTTTCTTTGTAAGCGGCCGGCGGATGGTAATAGCAGCGGTGTACCTGTAGGCGCGCTCTCCCCGCACTGTGTTCTTTCTGTAGGGAATGATGTTGGTGCCGTTGTTGTCCGGAATGATGTCGTTGTTGTTCTCTCCATTGGGGGACAGAGCTTGGGTCGGACCGGGCATTTGGCTCTGTGAAATACTCGAAAGGACGAGGAAAGGGACGTCGGGGCTGTTCCCTGCCGTCTGCCTGCTTGTTCTCAGTGTAAATCCCGAGTAAATGTATGTGTGTGTGTTTGTGTGTGTATGAATGTGTCTTCCACTCGACAGCGATCTCTCAGGTGAGTCGTGGAACTGCAGTCATGTGACTTTGGGAGGGGTGCTTCACATTTCAGCCTCCTAAGTACATCATTTGAAGTTTTATATGATTCTTCGTTGTAATTTGGTTTAACCTTATTGGTTTGACATGGGCAACTGGATTAAACAATGGATTTCGTTGTATATATTTGTCGAGACAATTTGGAGTACATCTGAACAACAAAAATGATTACCTGACTGAAAATTCTTTACTTATTTTACTAAAATGTTTCATTTATAAATGAAAAAAAAAAAAACAGCTCCTCAATTTGACTCTGTCAATTTTGCCTCCTATATAAAGGCTTTGAAAATAATGTAGGATTTGTTTAATGACCATGATTTTGTTTAAGCCCTTACAAAGTTACTTTTTGATGTTTGCACTGTGTGTTGATTATTTTGTTAAGTTATTTTATACATTATGATATGATATATATTTTTTTTATTTTATGGCTTAGCATTTGATTCATGGCATACTGGACGTTTCTCAGTCAGTCTGAAAGGTTACATTAGCATTGAGTTTGGCCTAAATTGTTATGTTTTTGAGATATGATAAATGTATATTTATGAACGTAGTACACCTCAAAGGCCTCAAGTGTTTCCTCTTAAAGGGATAGTTTACCCAAGAATGAAAATTACCTCATCATTTATTCTCCCTCATGTCCTTCTAAACCTTTACGAGTTTCTTCTGTTCAACACAAAAAATGATATTTTGAAGTATGTTGGTTGTTGGCACCTATCAACTTCCCTAGTTTTAGTTTCTTACTATGGAAGTTTTTTCGTGTTTAACAAAAGAAATGTTTTTTTTTATATTGTCTTAAATCTTAAATCTATTGTCGTTAAATCTTCTATTGTCAAATATTGCCTTTATGAATTGTAACCTCAGTTTTCTGACCTAAGCTGACAGGAGTGGCACCCGGTGTGGTCTTCTGCTGCTGTAGCCCATCTGCCTCAAGGTTGGACGTGTTGTGCACGATGCTCTTCTGCAGACCTCGGTTGTAACAAGTGGTTTACTGTAAGTTACTGTTGCCTTTCTATCAGCTGGAACCAGTCTGGCCATTCTTCTCTGACCTCTGGCATCAACAAAGCATTTGTGCCCACAGAACTGCCACTTACTAGATATTTTCTCTTTTTCATCACACAGTTGCTGCCATGTGATTGGCTGATTAGAAACTTGCGTTTACAAGTGGCCTGTTAGATTACATACATAATAAGGTCATTGTGACTTCTCACAGTTCGGACTTTTCTTTTAATGCTGAATTTTTAACACAATTCTGGACATTTAAGTGAAAAAGAGAGTCATAATTATTTAGAAGGGCAATTGCGATGTAGCATAAATAACTAAACGTTTTCTTGAATATGTGTACGTTTCTTGAGAGTCACAATTCTAACGTTATATTTCAAGTCACCATAAACCGGAAGTTGCTGAGAGACTTTTATTTCAGTATGTTAACAGTTAAAGTACGTTCAACTGAAACGGAATATTGAGGAAGGGGGCGGAGCTTTCTTTTTGCACATCATTCCATTATTGCAAACTACTGGTAAGAAGGGCAAGGTTAAGAATATTGTGGCTGAAGCGTCAAACTGATGCCAAAAGAGAAGCACCGCCACACCAAACACAAAAGCAGATGCTCAGACATTGAAGAATAACAAAACCATATTTTGGTGGATTAACTTAGCACAAAATAGTAGTTCACCTAAAAAAAAACAATGTACGCTAGCTAAATAAACACTTTAAACTCACAATTAAGGGTGCGGGGTGTAAGGGTGTATGTTAAATTATCTCTGAATTCTGAAGTAAAGTTAAAGTTGTTTTAGAACTCAAAAGTCAAAACTGTGAAACAAAAAGTCATAATTACCTTGTTTAGACACAAGATTCCATACATACTAGCTATTATCTCATGTAGAAGGGAAAAAAAGTGAGCTAAAAGTTCAGAAATATGTAAAGTGTTGACGCAGACATTCCATTAAACTGCTTATCTTACCGCTACATTTTGATGAATCTACTTTTTGCTCGCAACTAATGTATGAAATGAATTCAGCGTCATGTTTAAAAGTTATTATCGTCCTTATAGGAAGACCAAATACAATTGATTAGAATTAAACATTCATAAAAACAAATCTTCAGCATATTATAATGATTCTTGAAAATGATGCAACAAAGACTGGGGTAATAATGATACAATAAAATTCCCCTTTGCATAACAGGAATGAATAAAAATTGTACAAATATTAAAATAGAAAATAGTATTTTAAATGATATAAATACACTCACAGGCCACTTTATTAGGTACACCCGTCCAACTGTTTGTTAATGCAAATTTATAATCTGCCAATTACATGGCAGCAACTCAGTGCATTTAGCTATGTAGACATCAAGAAGATATGCTGCAGTTTAAACCGAGCATCTAAATGAAGAGGAAAGGTGATTTAAGTGACTTTGAAAGTGGCATGGTTGTGCTGCCAGATGGGCTGGTCTAAGACTCTAAGTATTTCAGAAACTGCTAATCTACTGTGATTTTCACGCACAACCATCTCCAGAGTTTACAGAGAATGGTCTGAAAAAGGGAAAATATCCAGTGAGCGGCAGTTCTGTGGGCACAAATGCCGTGTTGATGCCAGAGGTCAGAGGAGAATGGCCAGACATGTTCCAACTGATAGAAAGGCAACAGTAACTCAAATAACCACTCGTTAAAATTGAGGTCTGCAGAAGAGCATCTCTGAACACACAACACATCCAACCTTGAGGCAGATGGGCTACAGCAGCAGAAGACCACACCGGGTGCCAATCCTGTCAGCTAAGAACAGGAAACTGAGGCTACAATTCCCACAGGCTCACCAATATTGAACTAAAGAAGATTGGAGAAACGTTGCCTGGTCTGATGAGTCTTGATTTCTGCTGCGACATTCAGATAGTAGGGTCAGAATTTGGCGTCAACAACGTGAAAGCATGGATCTATCCTGCCTTGTATCAATGGTTAAAGCTGGTGGTGGTGGTGTAATGAATCATCTCAGACTGATTTCTTGAACATGACAATGAGTTCACTGTACTCAAATGGCCTCCACAGTCACCTGAATTCAATCCAATAGAGCCCCTTTGGGATGTGGTGGAACGGGAGATTCGCATCATGGATGTGCAGCCGACAATTTGGCTGTAACTGCATTATGCTATCATGTCAACATGGAGCAAATCTCTGAGGAATATTTCCAGTACCTTGTTGAATCTATGCCTTGAAGGATTAAAGCAGGTCTAAAGGCAAAAGAGAGTCCAACCCAATACTAGTAAGGTGTACTTAATAAAGTGGCCGGTGAGTGTATATTTAAGAATATTACACATTTTTTTGCATTTCTGATAAACATAAAAACAGGTCTGGTCAGCAAAAGAAGATTTTTTTAAGAAGAAAAAATATCACTAACTCCAAACTATAAATCTCAAGCCAAACATGAATATGTAATGCTTTATAAATTCTAGATATGTGGGTATTTATGTGACGTGCCAGCCAGGGGCTCATTTTTCTTCACTGCACTGCAAAGAAGGCCGTGATTTAATTCATTATATACACACACAATACACCATGTTTAAACAAGGCTCTTGTGAATGTATTTAGTGTGACATCTTTACAACCCAGTCTCACTCCAACCAATCAAACCTGTTTTTTTAGAGTCAAAACAAAGAGATAAATGATCTGAAATCGGTCCACCAGGTCATGACATTAGTGAGGTTATTTATGCTTTCCTCCTGCTTCAATAAAACACAACTAATGGTTCAATTTACAGCCTGTTTAAGCTCTAGAAAAGATCTTATTGTGGTAAAAAAAAAGGTTGATGTTTTATATTATAGCTATAATTAGCATCGCATTTGACGTTATTTAAGATAATCTTTAGCTATAAGGTATTTACTCCAACATATCCGACATTAAAATGCTGTCATATTCAAGCTAATCATTAAAAAACTTCACTGAAGACTGAAGAAACATAAGCAATATACATATGCAGCATCAATAAATCAATCGGCTGATAATGCAATTGATTACTGTATTAATCAATAGTTCATAAAGAGTTCAGAGTATTCCACAACGTTTTGAACTACAGGCTTTAAAGTACACATGAAATCAAAACTAGGCTCATTGATTTTGTTTGCTCACATTGCTAGCTCTGTTGGTAACACTTCATCTGTGCAAGTCATTAAGAAAAAAATTGAAATCTGAAAATGCACTTCCTGTTTGTTTTCAGTTCAATTTTGAGATTACGTCAGTCTGAGGTGCTGGGCTAACATACTTAACCACGCCCCTCCAGCTGTCAGTTTTGACGACAAATAGTAATGGTGAGGATGAGGTATCTGTTAGGTTGTAATAACTCTCCCCAACGCCTTTTCCCAATCTTTCTGTATGAAATACGCCTACGTTACCATATCCAATCGCTCGCGGTAGAAAAAAAAAAAAAACAAGCCACACTTACTGTTTTCTCATTTAATATTCTGTCTCTCTAGGAACTGCTTCACAATACAAGAAATATTTCCAGTCCATGCAGACCTTTTAAAGCCTTTTTTGGCAAAGTTGTACTCTGCAGATCAATTTTTAAAAATGCAAATAAAGAAACTGCACTATAACCTTTGTTGTGAATTAGGGGTGGGCAATGTCGACTAATTTGGCATCATATGATGTCTAATGTGACATCACAATGGACGATGGCATCGTCATCATAGGAGGCAGTGAATGAATTATTTATGAATTGTTATTTAATTCATAATGAACTAATTATTTGTAGCCTACCGTTTTAACTACCTGACTCACATGGTCTTTGTTTTTACCCATAACCAAACCAGATTACCACCTGTCAATCACTTTTCCCGCAAGACTCTAGCATGAATAGGTAGAGTGTTCTGTGTCGTTATAATGGCGTCGACAAACTTGGTTGTTAAAAAAGGTGCCCAACCAACAGTCTCTAAGGTT